GCTGAAGGAAGAAGAAAGATGCCTGTAGCTGCGGAGCATTTCACAGCATTAGGGAGCTGCTGCTGCCATTGCTAGTGGTGCTTAACCCCTAATGCTAGTCTCTCTTGACTGTGTTTAGGAATCCCTAGGAAACAGTTCTGTGTAGTTCGGGATCTGTGTGTGCATTTTGACTGTGTTTAAGTGAGTTCTCTGTTTCTGCAGGAGCAAATTCCAGAATGAAAAGGTACCAACTCTGAGAGAAGCTGTAGTGGAGTCTTTGCAGCACAATCTTACAATCTACTTTGATGTCAAAGGCCATGCAAATCAGGTACCACTTATTGTACTGTAACCCCTTCTTTGGATTTTCAGCCTTTTTTTGTTGGTCTCAAGCTGGTCTCTGTGGTACAGTGCCTTCTCTAACATGCCTGAAAATGGGTCTGCTGTTTGCATCACCCAAAGCTGGGCTGTCAGAAATAAAGACAATGTGTTCCCTCATCCCATTCCTTTGTCTGGCAAATGGCAATTTAAAATTCGACTGACTCATGGCTACTGAGTTCAACATCACCACAACAAAGCAAAACAAATTCCCTGCTGGTGCTGAGGGAACCCAGTGTCTGATCTTCAGTTCCAGTGAGGGATCCCAGTCATCTCTAATTTGTATTACTGAAGGCAGATACAGGTGAGCAGTCATAAACATTTTATGCAAGTTAGTAAAATATGGAAATAAATTATTTTTTCCCTTTGAACTAAGCCTTACTGTGCTTTCTTCATTTTTTTTTCTATAATCTATTTAAGGGTATTTCAAATATGAGAGCAATGAGTAGCATTCTCAAACAGAATCATAATCATAGAATGATAAAATGGCTTAGGTTGGGGGAGACCTTAAAAGATCACGTAGTTCCACTCCCTGCCATGGGCTGGGTTGCCAGCCACATCAGACTGCTCAGAACTTCATCCAACCAGGCCCTGAACACCTCCAGAGATGGGGCAGCCACAGCCTTCAAGTACTGGAAGGCTGCAGTGAGGGCTCCCTGGAGCCTTCTGTTCTCCAAGCTAAACAAACCCAGCTCCTGCAACCTTTCTTCACAGGAGGTGCTGCAGCCCTTTGGTAATCTTCGTGGCCCTCCTCTGGACCTGCTCCAACATAAAGACTTCTGTTGTAGAAACCATACTGGCATTTGTGTGATAATGCTATAAAACCTTTTTTTCTCCCTTCCTGGAGATTTCAGACTTGCTACACAAAACAGGAAGTGTTTTTAAAGAAATAAAATGACCTTGCAGCAGAAAGTAAATTTTATGTGTGTTTGTAAATATAACATCTGTGTGTATCTCTAATTGGCAGGCAGTTGATGCCCTAAAACAACTCTACCTGGAATTTCCTCGTTTGTATAACAGCAGCATAGTCTGTTCTTTCATGCCAGATGTTGTTTATAAGGTGATGTTTCCTCAAAGTTTCTGTAACTTTTGAATTCTGTCTGGGAATTTCAGTAAGGATTTACAGCTTCCAAAGTACTTTTGGGTTGCTGAAATTGCAAAAACATTAAAAACAAATGAAGCTAAATGCTAAATCTACTGCATGATCTGATTAGATCACACTGTGCTCATTAGATGCAAACATATTCTGAACCTACAGTAATTCCCTCTGTTCTGAACATTATGTAGAATGAGTAGTAACCAATTAGGTAAATAAATATCATCTTTTGATGTAAACATAAACCTTTCTTACCCCAGCTTTCTAATTGTTGTTAAGGCCATTTGTCATGTATTTTATTCAGTTTCCTGAATGTTCTGTTTCAGCATCACTGTGATGTTTTTTTTTATGTAAGAGCAGTTGCTTATTCTGTACAGATCTAAGAAAAAAAACTACAATATCATATAGTTTTCTAAGTTACAAAAGGACCTGGGGGGAAAAGGGAAGAAGGATTCTGATACAGCTGCACATTCAAGCTAGCATTAATATCTAACTGCTCCCAGTTTAATGAAGGCTTTGTGTGCATTCATCTTTTCTGCTTGGACCTTCCAGATGAGACAAGCTGACAGCAACGTGGTAACAGCACTGACATACAGACCTTGGCAGCTGAGTCACTTTGGAGATGGGACACCTCGCTTCAGTTCCTTCTGGAAACATTATCTGTATATGATGCTGGATGTCATTCTGGATTGGAGCCTACACAGCTTCTTGTGGCGATTATGTGGGGTTTCAGCTTTCCTCATCCAGAAAAATTTCATTTCTCAGTAAGTGCCAAAGCTCACTGATGTACCAGCAGGCCATAGCGTTCTATTAGGATACGAGAGTGGAGTTAAAGCAATACATGTTAATCAGTACCTTTTCTCTAGCATTGTGTAAGATAGTTTCTTTACTGCATGCCATTTTATTCTTTAAGCCTCTACTTCTTACAAGAACAAAACACACAAAAAATGGCATTTTGCAGAAGATAACACAACATCATTCCTGATGGGCTACTGGCGTAAGACTGAAACTCAATTTTAGCCTCAGTACTAAAGTCTGCTAAATACCATGTGTTTGTTCCTTACAGAGATTATGTGAGGCACTGGTCCTCAAAAGGAATTCAAGTGGTTGCCTGGACAGTGAACACATTTGCAGAAAAAATGTACTATGAAACCATCCTTGAATCCAGCTACATCACAGACAGCTTGGTGGAAGACTGTGATCCTCATTACTAGACCTTGGAGGGACTCACCAACTAACAGAAGCTGTCTTACTCAGGTGTGATTTACCAACAAAAGCAAACTGACTCTTCCTTTGCTTTGTTTAGTCTTGGTTATAAAGTCATATCAGGCATTTTTGATGACTTACTGAACAGTCATCATCCTTGATTCTAGTACTTGAAAGCTTGTTCTATAACTGTAATAATTTGAGATTATTTATGGTATCTTGAAAGCATCCACATCGCTGTTCTGAGAACAGTGGCAAAACATGGTGCCAAAATAGAGGGCAGGTATATCTCCCTCCTCCTTCACGGAGGGATGGCTGTGCTGCATCTGGTAGAAAGTGCAATCATGTTTTGGGAGGGCAATTCCTTGTGCTACTCAGTTGTTGCAGTCACTGATTCCTTATGTGGGCTCTGCTGTGTTCCAGCTGATGTGCCACACAATACTCTGAGCACTTTGTGTTGTGCCCTAGGAAACCTGCACTTAGCAGCAACAGAACGACAGGTTGCATGGATCACTGGTGCAGTTCACTACACTGCTTTGTATATAAATGTTCTTGATAGTGCTCCTCAATTAGAATTAAATATCAGAGCTAGCTGATATTTAACATCAACGTTAAGAGGCAAAAGATACTTAAATTAAATAAAATACTCAGTTGTAAGTGGGAAGAACTGTACAATCGTCCCAGTGAAGTTCAGACTTCTAAACGAGTGGTAAATCAAGTGCATCTTCTTCATGTGGTGCAACAGCACTCAGATGTGCAACTGCCTGGCATGTGCTGTTTGTAGCTTTCCAGTCTGGTTACAAAAACACTTCTGTTTGTTTGCTTCAAATTCTGTGAGATGTTCTGAGACGAGGCAGCAGAGGCACTTACTGCCACAACGATGAGAAGGTCAGATACATTCTGAAATAGCTTCATAACACCAACCCCAGGTAGGAACAGAGCTGCTCCAGGTGCTGCCACATGGACACTGACAACACTATTGCAGTGCTTGTTTTTTTCTTCAAAAAAATCTCTGTTCTCACAGAGAAATGCAAGGGTCATTAGCCAATGATTGCTGCCTTCTGCAAGCTGGAGTAGCTTTTTTCTTTTTATCTTGAACTACACATAAGCACAAAGAAACATGGGAGTAAGGGTGTGCAATGCTATAATGTGATGGAAAGCACCCAGTGACAGCATAGTAGCAAAGTCCTAGGCTGCAGCAAGTGAGGATATGCTCAATGCAGCAGCCATGGACACAGAAACAAAGAAGCTGCTTACCCTTGGGAGGCCTCAGGTAGCAGAACTGCCAATGAGATGCCCTCGCCTCCACTGCCAGTCCTTAAATGAGGTCTGGGAAGGCATGGATCCTGGCTCCACCCCTTCCAGTCACTCAAATGCACTGCACACACCTGAGCTCCCATGGCTTGGCCCTGCCTTCCCACCAGGTGCTCCAGCACTGGTTCAGGCTATGATTTGCCATTTCTGCTACAGGGGAATTCCCAGATGTATTTTTCCTATCACATCACTCATCCACTGTGTACTGCAAAACCAACAATCTCAGTTTTCTGCTTTACGTGCTGTATGATCTGTACATTTGTCACACCTCCATCTAGTTTGTGGCCAGCCCTGAGTGCCAATCTTTATGTTTACTGCTGCATTCTGCAGTCATTCTCCAGGCTTTGCTCAGAAGAGCTGCCTTCACAGCAAGGAATCCTTTCTCTAAAGGTCTCTTCTTGTTGCTACTTGGGTTGCTGGCACAGTGGAGTTACTCTCTTTGCTGCCTGCCCTATTCACAGCCTGACCCACAGCCATGCATGCACAAACAGAATAAAGTTCCATCTCTGGTCTTGACTGCATGCTTTGTTCTTTTTTTCTGTATCTTTGGTGACCTGTTTCCTGTTGTCCTTAACGCAAACTGTAAACTTAAGGAGCAGATTTACCTTTTTCTGGGCACTTTTGTCCAAAGCAGCTAGGGAGGAATAAATAAATAAACCAGGCACTAGTGAAAGACAGGCTAAAAAAATAGCACTTTTTTAAAATTAAAGCTTGTTAGCTTTATTTGTGGCTATGAATAAAAAGAAGCAAGAGTCACCTTCAGTCCTTGTTGTGTTACTTCCAAACTGGACAAGTTGTCACAACCTTTTTGTTTGTAAGGGGTGGTTTTTACACAGATGAGAATTTTGATAAGCAATACATTATTATTATTATTATTTTTTTAAAGAATTCCTCAAGCTGGTGTTGAACAACTGTAACAAAGCCTACATAAATGGCTCAGAGAAGGGCAACTACAACAGGATTAACATAATCATTCACACAAATCAGTTTGCAGCCATTGAAACATCACAGTCATTCAAAGCAATTGTGCTTTCATTTTATTTTCTCTGTATTTGACCAATGCTCAGTTGGCTCAGATCGCATTTTGCAACCTGTTTTTTCTTCCACGAGAGGGAATTAAAAAAATCAGTGTTGTTTTCAGTCGTGTGAATCAGTATTGCCTTCTGCAGAACATCCACGGGTTACTCAGCACCCATTGCTGACTGCCTGCTCATGGTTGAAGATGGCTGTTGTCATTTAAATCTTCCCACTGAGCCGCCTGCCTCGCGCGCAGAGCCAGTGCCACTGCCTCAGACATCCCTGAGCTGCTGCTCGGCTGGGGTGCTTCCCAATCTGTTTTTCACAAGGGAAACAAATTACAGCGTGCTGATGTAGGTGCAATAACCACCCTCTACTAGAAAGCCCCGCACTATTTGAACACCTCATCTGCTGGAAGGAACACGTTTGTATAAACCAGGAAGCGACTGTGCAAGTTTCCATAGCTGTTTCACCACACAATGTGCCAGGGACTCCACATTGTTAACAACCACTTCTGAAACACTGAAGTACTCCCTTAACAATCTAATATTCTTGCCTATGTTCCCATAAGACAAAGTGTCTCATTTACCCAGAGATTCAGCTGTTGTGTACAAAAGTTTGTGATCACTCTTCAGAAGTCACCACTACCATCACAACAAGCCACCAATAAGCATGCTCCGTAGAGAGCTTTAGCCCCAGAAACTCAGTTTCTTGTTTCTATTGCCTCTTTCTACAAGATGCTAAAGTGTCTGTTGCATCTTGTCTATACTAAATCAAACATTTGTAAGCTGAGCTTATGAACATCGCTTTCTCTGTGCTTACCAGATGGGAAGCCAGTCCTCCTCGAGATCCCAGCAGAGTAAGGATACTGGAAACAAAATTCACAGGTAGACGTAAGTCAGCGTTGTTCTCACATGCCCGTTATCTTGTATTTAAGACTGTACTTTCCCCATAACAAAGCCATACTACCTCTACATCTCAAGCAGGACTATGAGCACAAATATTCCAAATACAATTCCAACTGCAAGCTATTCCAATTATATTTTCTTTCTTTTCAAATCAATTATTTCTACACATAAGGGATGTTCTCTTTGTCCGACTGTATAAAGCCTAGGGCATGATATAGTCAATGGACATCAAGCAGAGACTTCTATCTCTGACTCTCACCTCATTGTAGGATGCATTTTGACTTCTGTCAAATGTCCTTCCTGGAGAGTTTGATTCTTGCTGGGCAGGTGGCATGGGTGAGTGGGATAAAGAAGAAATTCTCTGAAAGACAGAATATTTGACATTAGCAATAATACACAATGGCTTCTAATCGTGGCTTTATGGTCAGCATCCACGTCTGTTACCCTTCCTTTAGGGAGAGTTCTAGAAAGCAAAAGGCAATCTGATATGTTGCCAACAGACTGCCTGAGTGCCAAGGCTTTTTCCTTTGTATAGTCCAGGGTTACATCTCACAATGATATAGAGATGCACCTCGGTGCTCTGCAAACAGCACTGTACTAACCTGAGTGGGTGAAGAAAATAAAAGTGAACCTGTCTTATTTTGAAGCACTAAAAATGCACTGAACAAATGCAGAGCAGAGCAGCAACTGCAGACAAATAGCACTGGCAAGCTGTTCTCTACAGGATAGATACTTACTCATTTGATGGCTCAGCTAGCAGCCACTTTGAGTGGACAAAGTGATTTCAAATTAAAAAATGCTAGGTGTCAAATGATGCTGTGTGGAATTTAAAATGGAGTTTAGTCAGGTTTAAACCTGGTTTGACTCAGCTGAAAAAATGGGTGGAAAGGGCACAAAACATAAAGCCTGAAGGGAAGCTGGAGTCAGAGGAGGAGGGCAGCATCCTTCTCACTCTAGGCAATATCCAAGTGTGACCAAACTCTTTACTGACCATCACTACACGCTGAGGCAGGAATTTTCCTGCAGCTTCGTAACCATAAATAACTTCTAGTGAGGGCAAAGGCCTTTCTATCTGTGCTCCCAGGTTAAGTTCTACTCCTGAGCAAGTAGGAAATTTCCAAGTATCCTTTAGTCTTCTGGGGCTAGCTAGGAAGCAAGCACTTCAAGTTTTAAATACAGACATAGCCAAAATGGCAGCATCTTCACAAGTCTAGACGAATCGCACACAATTTTACAGTCACTGCACATCACTGCACAGGGGGATCTGAGCTACCAGACTGACCTGCTGCTCTTGTCCTCTTGGTGCAAATGGCTTTTGTGTTCTCTGTAGCATCTGTAGTTTTTCAAGTAAAAACCTTTTGTCTTTTCCTGCCTGCACACAAAACACACTTGATCATTAGCTGGAATGGACTAATAATTAAGGGAGACTCAAGGTCTATGAGTAACTGATCTACAAAAGAAGCTGCAGCAGCACAGTTTGAACATAAAATTCCTTTGCAATAACATTATTTGTGAGCAGTTTCCCCACAGCTTGCACACAGGAGGGCTTCCACCTTCCTCTGCATTGCTGCAGAAAAAGATTACAGCTTCACAACAGCAGAGTGAGACAATCAACAAGAAAGCCAAATTTTAAACAAAATAAAGCTGAAAGTCAAACTTACATTAACAATCTGCTCACGTAAGAGCTTGGCCATGGTTCTTCTTCCTCTTATTATTTGCCAGAAAAGGTAAGCAATAACTCTAAATAAACAAAAGTCCAAAAGATGAACGCTCATACCAATGTGCTCCTCCCAATCACTGCTTAAACAGACATTTGTCTTGGTTCATTTCATCCACCAAATACACAGGTATACACACATACATAGGTATATGCATACATACACACAATTACATATGGAACTTGCCAAACACGTGAAATTGCTTAAGCCATTATCTTGGAAAAGACCCGAAGGTTTATAGAACCTTATTCAAGTAAGGGAGGCACAATTAAAGCAAGTCAACAATACAAGGTACATTTCAGACTACAAATGAATACAGTATTCTTATGTAACTTTGTGTCATTTACTTAGACCTTACATCACAACACTGAACAGTCCTGCTTCCAAGCCAATTTTATTTGCTCTAGCATGAATGGCAGCTTGTTTAGTTAGAACAGGTTTGGGCTCTTAGGTGAGCACGACAAAATAATCCGGTAGCACAGCTACAACTTCAACCCCTGCCAGCAGGCCAGCATCTGGAAGATGCACATACATTGGTACCTATATAACTAACTTTAGTCAGGGAGGCAGCACAGGAATTTACCTGAGATCGGCTCAATTGGACTGCAGCTGACTTTCCCTGCACTGCATGCTCACTTCACACGCCATTTGTGCACCACCCTGCTCTTCCTCCAGTGCCCCCACATTAACTGAGATATTTTTGCAAGGTATCAGCACCTCCACAAGTGACTCCACTGAAGAAAAATGGTGAAAGACAAAGCAGCCACCCACAAAACCTCTACTTTTTTTTTTATGCTGCCCAAGGCTCTAGCATAGATCTGACACGTTCTACTTCTCCTTGTGAATGACAGATCTTTGCCTTCTGATTTATATCTCTTTAAATAAGTAAATAAGTCAAGCAATTCATCCTGCCAACAGTATGCAGATGTTCCCATTCACTGATGTTGCTACAGCTCAGAGTGGCAGTGGTAATGAGACCTGGAAGCCAACTCACCAGTGAACTAAAAATATTAAATTAAACAGCAGTATATCCTTCAGTTAGCATGAAACAAAGAGAGCTTTGGCATCATAACATAAATGGAATAGGTTTTATAACTTCTTTACATACTTCAAATACATGAGTTTCCCTTATATTAATCATTTCTAGTATTCTAAAGTGCACTTTGCAATTGTTACAGAGAATGGCTATGGCCTAGCCAGGTTTTTCCACTCCGTGCCCTTTTCATCAGCAGGTACTCACATGATAACGACGGAGAGGATGAAGAAGAAAAGTTCACTTGCTATTAAGTTGTAGTAGACCCATGCTACCCATTTTGAATCAATGTAATTTTGCAGTATTTTTACCCACTCAGAGATTGCTGTGTATATAGAAGGCAGACCTCGGAAAGGACCACATTCTTTTGAAGGTTTCAACCTGAAAGCATGAGAAAGCAGCTATTTAACATTTCCCACACTAACAAGGGATTTAATTCAGTGCATTGTTGTTCTCTGCCTCGCTATTGCCCTCCACTTCTTTGGGACCCTCACAGAATGCCATCATCTATAATTGCTGACTTTTTGGGGTCAGCTCCAGGACATTAAAATTCCACCTCAGTACCTCTGAGACTATTGCAGCCGGACATAAGAGATGCTGCAACAGATCCCTGCTAAGCCACGTGCACTGCATGCAACAAATCAATCACTGCAGCACAGACTACAGCAGTTTGAAAATCTGTATTTTCAAAGTTGCAGCACAGCTGCATAATGGAACTACCATCACACCTCACCTTCCAGGACACAAATCACTGTAAACTTTCAGCAACAACAGGCTGTGGTGAAACGAGGTAGTTCTTAGCAAAAATCCACATTTTGGGGCAGATGGAAATAGAGAAATGTTGTTTGCTTTGAAATTGGACCAATCCAGATAGAACAAAATTGCCACCTGGCCCCTGGAAATATGTTTTCTGAAGTACATCACCTCCTGTGTTTTTATTTAGTAAGACAGGTGGCTACACATGAAATCACATGGCTGAGAATTGCTAAGAAAAAGAGCTGCATCTGAGTTTCCATCACTACTGTGACCAGAGTAACACGCACATAAACAAAGCAGCTTTAAAACACTGCTAGCAACCCAGATGCCTCATAGCAGAGCTCTGCACACTCTTTAAAAAACAAAACAAAACCCTGAAATCAAACAAAAAAATCTGAAATCTGCAAATAATCCAGAAGCTCAGAAGTTGACCTGCTCTGTTTTCTTCCAGGTGTTTCTGCACTGCACACCCAGTATGGCCCATAGCATTTAAGCCTGAGAGCAGGCAAGGTCACAGAAACTTTTGAGGAGCAGGAAAGGCCAAATCAAAGAATCTTCTGTGACATTAACATAGAATACCAAAACTTGAAAGCAATCTTGTCTCCCCTCCCACTTTAATTATGGGACAAGTTACTGCATTAACCACACTTGCAAACTTACTGAACCTGTTTGCAGAACACAGAACGCTACCAACATCTGCAACCTGCCACTAGCAGTTATTACAAATTTCCTCTGCCTGCCATCAGGTCACACAACACAACGTCATGGAACTGAACGTCAGCACTCTTCCATACCTCCAGACAGTGACTGCAATGACAGACAGGACTCCAATGAGGGAAGGGAAAAACAGAATGAACATGAAGAACGTTGTCATTTGAGCAGCTCTCCAGGCTTTGCGAGGAGGTTGGCAATTCCTCATCAGACTGACCTTGTAAGAGATGAAGGTACATACACTTGGAATAGCATCACTTGCCACTTTCACTGCATTTGAGTCAATCCTGCTGAAACCGCTGGAGGCAATTGCTGGAAGAGCATCTCTCAAGGGTTTCCATCAACTTCTTTTACAAGAACTTGACAGATAAGCTGTAGTTTTAGAAAACTTCATGAATACAGTCTTCCAATCACTAAGAGATGATACGAGGTTCTGATGGGTTTTACAGAACTCTGACAGGCAGAGTTTGCTTTTGAAGCACGCATAAAACTTCCCACAGCTCAGTGAAGTCTGAATCTGTGCTTCTAGTTATAACTATGTTCTTCTACATTTAACATTGCAGACTGTTCAGACACCTCCTAAGAATCTCTTACCTAGTCACACTAGTGAGACAAAGAACTCTGAAAGCTTCCGCCTTGATATTAAGCAGAATCACCCCACTTAGACCCAGGAGCCCTGGGGGGAAGAGGCTGGTGAGAGTAGGAATCCAGAATCATAACAGCAGGCTGAGTGTCTGTACTGACAGATGCACTGTTTGCTGTTAGTTTCCTAGGCTTTAATTGTGCTCCTTTCTTTCTTTAAGAAAACAAACAAGCAAAAACCCACTACAACAAAACAGCAAAAAAAAAACAACCAAACAGCTCCCCAAGCACAAAACTCCTCAGCCTCCAGGCAATCCCAGCACTCAATCAATCCTGCGTAGATTTCAGAGTAATTTCCATGGCATTCTATGAAGCAAATATGTAAAGCTTCTTACCTTTTTCACATAAAATACTATAGAAAATGATATCATCTGGATACCAGGCAGCAGAGGTGAGAAGAGAATACCGATCCTAACAGGAAGAATTTATAAGAGAAAAGAAGTTGTATTTCCACAATTCATTAACACCAGTGTTTCATCTGGCAGTTGGCAACCCTGCCTGCAGCCTGGAACTTGATGATCCTTGAGGTCCCTTCCAACCAAAGCTATTCTATGATTTCTTCTGCGTTTTCTCTCAGACCAGGTGGCCAGAAGGAAAACTACAATAACACTGGAGGTAGTAACCTCACTCAAAGAGAACTGGCAAGTCACAATCCCTACAAAGGTACTTAACATAGCATCTCTCCCAGGCATTTATCCTGTTCTATCTTTTATGATGTAATGTACCCATAAATATCTGAATCAGGATGTTCCATGGCATTCCCAAATACCAATTAAGGTTTTGACCACTTACCAGGTCAATGTCTGAGCATAGATCAAATCTAAAACACTTCTTCCAATATCAAATTCTGGCACCCCCAGGCTCACACAGACTGTAGTTCCAATAATTCTGGGTGAAAAATTAAAAATAAAAGAATAAAAAGAAATAGCATTTGCTAAATAGTTAAACTCATTTTAGAAACCTCAACAAATCACCTCCTGAACACAACCATCAGTGACAGATTATTCAGGGTTCCATTAACCACACATCAGTCAAAGCAGCCGCAGCTGATTTGACAGCACATCAAAATTGAAGCAGAACTTCAAATGCAAATTCCCATAAAACATAGTGGTGTAAACAAGACTGACAGAGTTTTTTATGCAAGTCAATAAAAGAGGAAGAAGAAAGGAGGTAGTATGCTTATGATTCAACAGATGAAGTAATAATTCACCTCAGTAAAAACCCTTAACTTCTTTTCCATTCACAAATCCTGAAAGCTCTCAGCCTCAATCAAAAAAAAAAAACCTTATAAACTAATACTTAATATATTCTACAGCATATTCTACTTTAATGTAACCAGTCTTGCAGGCAGCTGAGATACACACAGATAAGGAAGTACCCAGAGGACTTCACTCAGGGTCCAGCAAATCTCATTTTATCATTTCATTTTTTCCTGAGCTACAAAGATTCAGTTTCAGGTTTCATTGCTTTTTGTTTTTGTAACAAGAATTGGAAAGATTTTGGTAACTATCCCATCTTGCCTTGAATAGAGGTCTTGGTACCATCTGGTAGCTACATTATCAACAATAAATGTTTCAGGGCTGTGCTGGCTGGGAATTACTCTGAAGACATACAAGTAATTACAAGCAATCATGCTTCTAATCTTTTACAGCTGTAACCCTGCTGTTTTTGCACGGCTTACTGGATGACATTCATAATGGCTGACACTGCATATTAGTTGTGACCTTTTGCTGAAGGTAATTTCCTATCTCAACAGAGCAAGAACAGGAGAGGATTAAAGTACACTGACAAGGGCTGAGGAGGGAAAATTTACAAGGGCTTCTCAACACTGTTTTGTGTCAATTTAACACAAAAGTCTAAGTCCTCATTTGTAAACCAATCTTCTCAGCTCATTTGAAGGGCAAACAACTGTAAAGATCTCCCCAGGTGTGTGGCTAAGATGCCAAAAAGCTTTGTAGCGCAGGTAAAATTCAGTACTGTTATCCTTACAGTTTTCACAGGGGAAAAACAAACAAACAAAAACAATGAAACAAAAACAAGAACAAAACACGTATTTGGCTAATGAAGAAAAACAAGATTAGAAAAACAACAACAACTCACCTTCGCAAAAATTCTCCAAAGAATGAGCCAAGCAAACAAAATATGAAGTCAACCAACACAAGACGATAGATATCTTGGCCAATCAGTGTTTCCCAGCACTTGAAGGAGTAAGAAAGAAAAAAAACAAAGATACACACATCTAGAAGTGAAAAATGATGTAAATCTAACATTCCTGAATGCTTGGGCATCCAAAAATTTGTGCCATGAACCAAAGCCTTGCTGGCATCCTAACCAATGGCTGATCTCTCACTGAACAATGAGATCTTAGCTGAATGTAGGAAAATGAGTTACCCATTTCTCTAGAAATTCAAATAAAGAAATATCAGGGTAGCAAATTCAGCTGCCCAAGAGTCTAGAGGTACTTCTCTTTGCTTGAACAGACCTGCCATCAAAGTGGCTCTCAATGAGGTACTGTAAGTCAAAGATAGATATTTTTGAAACTTTACCTGTGACTCCGACACAGCCACAACGTTAAGCCAGTAGTAGCACAGTATTCCAATAATGGATATTTTCAGGATTATAGTTCTACAAAGAAAATGTAGCATTAACTGCACTGGCAACTGGTATGCAACCTCCCTGGAAAGAATAACAGCACAACGACTGCTGGTCACATGTTACTTCTGTTATAACAACAGCATGCCATAGTGCCAGGACTAACAGAAGCAATCTTTGGAGCTCAGGTGCTGCATTACTTTACTGTCCTGGCAGAATCAAGGACAGGTGGGGCAAATTTGGCACAGGCCTCTGCTCAATAGGCCATTGGCTGTGGGCACACACTCCACAGAGAAGGAAGGTCTGAGGAGCACAGGTAGTTATACAGTGTTAATTCCACGCATATGCAGTGAAGTCAGACCTCCTCACTTCTCTTACCACTTCTTTTCCTTCTGCCAGGAGGTCCACAGCTCAGTCACCATCAATAGGAGCTATAAAGCCAAGCCCAGGGTCACCATATTGCTAACTGGGAAGGAAACGAGGGCAAGTCTTCATGCAGAGATGCAACATTCTAGACAGAAGACTTACAGGAGGCTAACAGAACTTTGAAGGAAGATTGCACAGAAGCCTTTGGAAGGTGAATTCACCTGCTCCATAGCTCACTATTGACCACCACACCACCTAGGTACAGCTTGCTGTAAAACAGAAGAGTCAGCCAACTTCAGGCAAAAAGCACTAAGTGGAGGTAGCAACAAATACCTGGCAATAGCAACATATATCTTGTGTTTGGGATTCTGAAATTTCTCCAGGTTTCCAAGCCACGAGTAGAAGAATGGGATGAACACATTGAGGAGGGATGTAATAATGGGTAGCACCAACATGGCAGCTTGGCTTTCCAGTTCATTTTTATTCCCTTTCATAAAGAGCTTTGAGAGAAGAAAAACAAAGTAAAAATAAAAACCAACCCTAAACTTAGAACTTGAGCTGAAATGCTGCCTCAATTGTGTCCACAGGGAGGACACCTGGCACACATCTATTCTCAGATCGGACGCAATCCTGTTTCACAGTTCCATGTCTGTTCAGCATGTAACCCTGCCCTTCCGATGAGTCGCACAGGACCATGGTGGGAGCTGCATTTGAAAAACCATCTGCAGGACGAAGGAGAGGCAGGCCTTCTTCTTTCATGACAGCAGCTGCACTCTAAGACAGCCACGATTTGAGGCAAGCAACTGCTGGGATGAAGGGCTGCAAAATCAGTACTTACCTCTAGATTATTAATGGAGAGGAAGTAAACACCAGCACAAGCAGCTACTGCTGTTCCCAAGGAAGCAGCCCATGACCCAAGATGGATAAGAATACGAACAATTCTCTCTGTTACAGTAAAACTTAGACCTTCTTTGTTTTCTTCAGCGAGGTCCTCCTGCAAGGAAACAAATCCTAATGAAGAACTCCTTGGGTGACAGCATAAAGCAAAACCTGCTTCAGATAACTGCCTCAGAGGTTGATGTATTTTTTTTCCCCTTTAGAGTATTGGCACAGTGGGAAAATTTACTAGACAACTCTGTGTTCCTATCCCAAAAGTTGTTTATCTTAACAGCTATACTGTACTTAACATTTCCTATAAGCCTGCTCTTCTTTGAGTTAAATTGAAAAAATAAAGAAAAACAGAAGCAATATTCTGTTTAGCATATATTTAATAGTCACAGATTCATTTAATAGGAAAAAAATATATAAATATACATACATATAAGTATTTACACGTAGCTTAAAGTGAAATGAAAAATGAGTAGCTAAGACAAATCCAGGAGTTCAAACCAAGTTAAACATAACAACCAGGAAGACTTCAGTTTATTAGAAACAAGACTGGCATGCTCAGGTCAGTGCCAGAAGCTTATTTGTGCACACGCTCTGGCAGTGTGACTCCAGCATGCTAATTCTGTACCTTTGCACCTTTTTGTATCTCCTGTATTTCCTACCTTTATCTGTGTGCTGAGATTCTTTTGTTTCAACTTCACAGCTTTTTCATTAGTTATGTTGAAGTCCCAAGCGCAGAGAAGTTTGCTTGCATTGCCAGAGTACATCTGAGGGTTAAGAAAGTTTCTGCAGAAGGATTTTGCCATGCTGCAATTAAAATTAAATTTGTGAGATGTGTAACAGGAAAATCCATCAAGGTTGCACAGCAGAACAGGAGTGGGAATGTTAGTTTTTCTCTCCCTTCTCTGGGCTAGCAGATCTACATCAGAGCATCTCAAATAAGATTACACAGAAAATAGACTTTAATATGTGAGACAACTCTCACAGTTCTTTCACCCAGCTGCTTCTGACAATCTTTAGTTCATCAATTTCAGAAGGACACGTTAATACCATGAGCAACACGTTACAAAAGGGGGATCATGAGATTAGTTGTTTTGAACTGGGATTCGTTGCATGACCCTTAATATTCTGCACTTATTCTTCATTCATCTATTGAAGTTTTTATGCATGATACTGGCCTCTGAGTTTCTTCTATAAACAGTAACTTACAGAAACATACTCATGCAACCATGCCTGCCAACCATACAGGGTTTTTTTTTTGCTAATATAAATGAAATAAGAACATATAGCTAGTTTACCTGAACACCAAGATAAGCAAACAGATGACAAAATATATTCCAACAGTGAAAATATAGGCCAGCTGCATGTTATAAGATGCACCATTCTTCGTTTGACTGATTGTAGCATTGGTGTAAAAGCCATAGTAGAGTACTGTTTGTTGAAAATAACCCTGAAAATACACAGACATCATTCAGAACTGTTGCTGGAAGTACCATCATCTAAGGCTTAATTCACACCTGGGAGCTGTTGTACAGTGAAATCAGAGGAGTAATTAAATTTGTGAATATCGAGTTCTTTATTTGTCTTACACCCCCAAAAAGCTGTGGGAGTTTTTAGAGGTACGTGATTACAGATCTATCATGTGGATGATTGTGAGCAATCTATGTTTGCATGATTTGGTATCTTCTGAAAAATCCTGAAGAGGGAAAGGCACGATCACATCTTTCTCAGGAGCAAAGTTCTGTACCAACAAATCGCAACCACTGTGAAGGAACCAGGAATGAAACACGTGACATTCTGTGCCGAGTTACAACATCACAGCGGAACTCCTGCAACAGTGCCTCTGCTTTGCAAAACTGAACAGTGTTCTTACTACAAAATACACAACTTTAAAACCAACCCTAGAAAGAAAAGGCAGGCACCTTTTTTTAAAAAACATTTCTTCTCAACTAATATTAGGGAGAGCAGAATCTTGTTTATTGGACAGAGGAATCCTTTAACATCAGTTAAACTGACAGAATTCTTAAAACGGTCAAAGATGGAAAGAAAAGGAGCAAGTCTAGGCTTAGAGCAAAGTCTTTCTTTCCAAATAGCCTGAGATTTTATGCCACAAGTAGAAATATCTCCGTCAACTGAAAAGCTCCTTCTAAGCCACACTTTGCTCAACAGGCTGCCACACCAAGATCTGCACGCTCCCTAGAAGAACAAAGCTTCAGAAATAAGCAAAATTCACAGGATCACACATTGAAATCCAGACTGTATTATTAGAGGAAGACTAGCATGGGAAATACATTCTCCTAAAGACTATTGTAGTTGTCTCCAGAAAGCCTGACTTCCACTCTTCCACTGCTTCCTACAAGGAAAAAGTCTTGCTATATTGCTTAACATAGCAACCATCTGCTTTAAGACAAATTCCTCAGAACACAAACATTCCACTCTGAGTCAACTTTTGACACAGCCTCCTTTCCTCAAGTATGTATGAAATATTTCTTCTAATCATGTAAAAATTTACCTCCATCTCTCAAGAAATAATTAGTTTTTACACTGCCACAAGTCTTTAAAGCAGAACTGTTGCAGAGAAAAATAACACACATCCACTGTGACATACTTACAGCTCCAGTGAGCAGCTCCAGACCCGTGAATGAAAGGTTATTTGGTTCTGCTGTAACAAACTGAGGGATTGTGATGAAACCAAAGTTTATGAGGAATGAGAAGATGTTGAAATTCAGCAGCCATTTCAGAAAAATAAAATAAGAAAGAACACTTGTTCCAAACTCTCCACCAATGATCTTCAGAGTCTTGTGCCAGAAATTCAGTCGCTGAAAATATTCTGACAAGGTATTTCTAAATCGCCGAAATGACTACAGAACAAAAGATGAGAGGTGAACCTCAGTGAGCAGCCTTACACAGGACTCAAATCCACATAATACACCCTCACATTTTTACAGCTCCATTTTGATGGTAAGAAGAGATTTCCACCTTTCAGTGCATCACAGAATGCTTACGCACTCTTCCTACCTAATGCAAGTCATTATCAATGAACAGTGAAGAAAGGAAATAAGACCACGAGATGCCCAGCACCTGTGGAGATGCTGATAACACTGCAGCTGCAGCTCCCTCCAGCTGTTACCCACTGACATGCCTGACACTCACCACTTTTGCTCTGTGCAGACAGTGCTTACAGCAGCCACACTGAGTACCACAGCCCCCTGATTTCTTTGAGATTTCTGTGAGAACTTTATTCCTGTGGGAAAGCAGGACAAAGGAGTGACAGCATGAGCTGTAATTAGAACAAAAGCCAAAGAAGCTGCTGCAAACATGTGCTCATGACCAAGACAATACAACTTGAGATGGTTCTGCTGGTTCTTCTTGTGTTAGCTGCTAAAATGGTCTTTGTCCATTACAAGCTGAGGTGTGGCACCACATTCCAACTGCTCTACTAAGTCACTGCTAGGAACAACATCTAAATGTACTCACGTGTATAAAATAAATGTACGCAATGATCAAAATGATGGCTGAAATCATGTGGTCTCTTCTCTGTTTTTAACAGCCAGCATTCAACTTTCCTTTGAATGAGAGTCACAAGACATACTTGCATGCAGAAGGGCACGGCCTTGCTATTGTGTTTTATATTACATGAGAGTCTTCTCACTCAGAGAAAGGACACTGAACCATCTTCAAATTACTTTTCCTTGCAAGATGTTAACTTTTTAAAAGCTATTTAAAAAGTACTATCAGCTTTTTCGTACTCAAAGGGACAAAGCAAAGCTGAGCAGCTAGCAAACACGCATACTGGATAGCTACATGTCAAGAATTGTACTGCTTGTAAAACTAAACAGAACTTTTATTGTTACCTGATCTCTCTCTTTCTTTTCATGGTTTCTGGCATTTTCTGGATCACTTTAATCCTTTCACGCTTGGACATGCTTGCAAGACTTTCAACTAATTTTTCCTCTGCATAAAAATAATGATAAATCCAAATTTGGGGGTGATAATATAGTAATTGTTATTAAAAAATTGAAACTTTATATAATCATTCCCATTTTCACAGCTACTAATGCATGTCATGTTCTAAGACTTAATGATTCTGTCCAGAATATCCTTACTTTTACCAGTGCTCTAATACAGATGCATGGAAGTAGCACAACACTGCACATTAACAAGTAAGTATCAGTTGTCTACTGTTTGTTGAATGCTAATACAAAGAGCTGTACTGTGAGGAAGACAAAACGAAGAGCTGGTCTATTCCTTGATCACTGACAATCACACTTCTAAAATACTATTATCAACTTGAACTCTAAGCTTTTATTCTGTGATTTTAGTTCATGCTGGTCTATGTAAAATAGGCAGAGATATTAGTTGTCATTCATCTTGTTTCCACATAGTTGGAATTCAATGCTAACTCGAGACATCTAATAAAATAATAAATCATCAGCTGGTCAAGCAAATCCTAATAAGTTATAAAAAGAAAAGCTAAACTTCTTAACAAGAAACCATACTGCATTTTGTTTCATTTATGTTGTAGTGTGCTAGGGAGTACAAAAGATGAAATACTAGCCTTAACTAAAAACAAGCTGCTCTTGTAACCACAGAAAAGCTACACGCAATTCTGATGATAAATCAAGAACAGTATCAGCCACAGCATAACTGTGCAAGATGTTACCTCACATAACAACACTTCTTTAAACTCCTACCTCCTCTGCACTCTGGAGTTGCTTGAGACAGGGTTGCAAATGTCGCAGTGTCAGATGGCCTTCTGTTGCGTCTCCGAACAAAGCTCCCTAAACAACAACCAGCACCATTTAATAAGCCTGGATACTCCTAGGCTAAACTGATTTAAGACATTCAAATTTCACTTTCATAGAAACAGTTTAGAAGTATACCCTTCCATCTCTCCAAGTACACCCAAACATACATTCTCCCTCTAACTTCTCCCCAGGTGATGTGTGATGACTGCAGGCAATTTCTCAGACACACGCTGGCAAAGTGGCACAGAGTCTTCTCCTGCTGTGAAAAACTGTCTCATTTAACCCATTCATACATGTACACATTGATTCTTCAAGTTTTTCTTTCTAGAAGACAGCTCCTTTCTTTTAAAATCCTTCCACGGATTTGGAGGGATTGTTTTAGATACATCAAGCTTCTTTCATCAAATCATTCAAACAAGTTTCCTTAAAAGCATCCACGTTCCAGCAATGAAGCAGATGAGTTCAGCCTTACTTTCGCTTACCTTGACTCCCCAGTAAGACAATGGCCAACCTGCTCAGTGCTACACCCACATGTTGAGCACAGTCCCTCAGTCTGGAAGGTCCCGACTAACTGACATGTCTGCTCAATGACACACATGCTGCAGGCTCACTAACATTTACTCCTCAAATCTAAAAGTACCACTGTCATTTCTACTTTAAGCCAACTTGTTTTGTAGCAATGAAAAACATCCGTATCTCCACGTGGACGCACTTTCAGCACTACACATTTAATCCCTACGTGATTATGCTGGAAATGCACTCTCTCCTTCCTACCTGGTATTAAAAAAATACCAGCAGCAGGAGTGTTAGTGTTTGGAAATGGCCCATCTCTGTGGTCACTTACGGGATGAGCATTTCCAGGTACCAATAAAAGAGTTACTATTCTATATAAACCTAAGATTTTGCCAAATCCAATCCTAAATCAAAGACTATGTTCTATGAAGACAAAAAAAAAAAAAAAAAAAGACCTCAATTACATTCCAGGCAGGAAACAAACTGTAACAGAGAGATTACAGGACACAGGAAGAGCAGATTCTTCCCAGAAAATGATTGATAAGCTGCTATGCTGGTCTAAGAGAGAACTCAGATTGTATTACTTCAGTCCACTCTTTTCATTAACATAAATCTCTAGTTACTGCTATAATCATTTACACTTAGACAACACAGTAACAAATTCAGTAACTAAAGACAGTCTTGAAAAACACATCCTATCTTCCTCTTATTTCCTCCTACAGTATGCCTCTTTTTTATGTTGACCAACTTATTGGGAGCTTCAGTTAGAAGGCACAGGCATTACACCTCTCATTGCTCAAGAAACAAAGATCATCACTTTCAGAAATACTGAAAAATTCAGCCACAATTATATGGTAAAATATAATTCATGTATTCTGACTGCTTTCATTTTGTGAAAATCTTCATACTTGAAGCAGACTTTTAAATCTTTACTATTTTAGGGAGAGTGAGACTGACATCAATATTCTGATAGAGCACTATCTGTGTGTCTTACCTTCTGATGCACTGGAAAATCTGTGAGAATAGGGGTCATCCAGAGGACTGAAGGCAGAACATGGGCTGTATGCCAATTCTGGCTCAGGCTCAAAGGAAAGATTATCTGTTGAAGGCAGTCAGAATTATACAGAAAGTTGCATGCTGCTATGGGTTATTAACACACCCAGAATATCAGACCTTTTGATCAAATACAGCTCTACAATACGTATGGCAATATATCCTATCACTTCTATATCTCTTTCCAGTGTACATCCTACTATTCAATTAATTATGTAGTACATAAAAGTAAGCATTTACTGATCTGTTAATAAAATAGTCAGTGTTCTCACTTGGTAATTTAACATCTGGACTCCTACGAAAAAGGCAAAAAATCCACTGTCAACAAACACAAATTTGTGCAGAGACTTGAGCCTTCCAGAATGGCAGGACACAGCAAGCTGTTACTTGTTTCTAAGCATGTTCATATGAGAAATTACATACCCTGGGATCTGCCATATGGACTTCTGCTCAGGACTTGAACTCTTGGTAAACTTTCACTGTATTCAGAGTTGTGTCTCAGAGAAGCCATTGGTAAACTTTCACTGTATTCAGAGTTGTGTCTCAGAGAAGCCATTGGTATGGCTGGAGGATAATTTTGTCTTCTTCCCCTGTGCTCTCCTTGGTAACTATACGACAGAGAATCGTAAGGGTTTTGGTGAGAGAGCTGATTCCCTTCAGAATTCCTGCTGTGTGAATAAGAAAATGGAAAACCTTGAGTGCCGTAAAAAACCTTTCAATCAATATTCTTATTAAATTGTCACCTAGTATCATCAAATTTGATTATATCACAAGAGGAAGTCAGATACTAAGAGGTATTTCATATTTGGAACTTCACCATAAAAATTCTGATTTGGTCATCAAATGAATTAGAAAGACTAATGCCTTTCTCCACTTGAAGTTAACATGGAGCCTACCTAAACAGGAATAAGTGCTTGAAAAGTTAAGACATTCAAGATTATAGCATGTTGTAAACATTACCAGAACTAAATAATATCCCTAACATCTATGCTATAAAACTTAAAATCAATTTAACTGATAAAATTTATAACACGTCAAAACCAAGCATGCAATTTCTCGACTGATGCCTTCCTTTTGACAGCTTCAAAAACTTATGTCTGAGAAAGCAAACATAAAGGAGGTATTAAAAGCATGTCACAAACTAAAACTCTGAAGAAAAAGTCTGCCCTGCACATAAATAACTTGATTTCTCACGGCACAGTCACAACAGCCACATGAAATGGACTCACCTCCTATCAACTTCCAGTGTCTCTGAGAAGTGGTAGGCTGGATTTTCAAAGGCTTCGTTGTAATGGTAAGACATGGCAAGTCTTTGGTTTGAGAGAAGAAATCTCCCTTATTTTTGTCTCTGCTGCTCCAGTAACACGTTCCTGGGTAGACTGATTTCTGACCTAATTACAAAACATATATATATGTATGTATGTATGTATGTATACACACACATTCACACAAAATGGAAAGAAAGAACCTCATTTTTGCCTTTAGTTAGATTTTGTCACCTCACTAACATGCAAAATACAACAATATAAACAGAAATTAGAACCATCTTCGTGCTCTGACTTTGTTTATCACTGTGAAATTTAGGGTCCACTACAAGACTCATGTAAAACAAGAACTCCTATTTCTCTCTAGCTAGCTCTACACAAGATTACAGAATTGGAGCACCACATGAAGACTTGACCAGCATTGACTAAAAGCAGGTTTTAGGAGCGTGTTAAAACATTAAGTAGAAGGAAGTACATCCTCTCTCTTTCTCATACAGGAAAAACCAAACACACAATTTTTCTCTGACGACTGTGGCTCCAAAACCAACAGGTAAGAAAAGTCTGCCCACTTCCTCACTAACAGGGGCATCTCCAATCCTCAGCTGTGAGCTTGGGACACACTGGACCATTCTCAACAAGGGCTCTTCTAATGACTTCATGTATTGATCTTGTAAATAGTTTCATCCTTAGCTTTACTTCTTAGAGTTTCACTTCACCTTTAAACAAACCAAACCTGGTCAGAGTTTAAAATTATTAGCAAAACAAGTCCAGGTTAGTCAGTGAAAGGACAATCTTCTATTCAAATTAAAGACAGAATCCAAATTAAATAGGTAGTTCTTGCAATTAATCAAAGCCGTACTAAAAAAAATAAATTAAAAGGAAGTAATTTTTAGTATTTGTTCTTAAAGGCATCCTGTCAAGTTCGACCAGCTAGCAAGCTATTTAACAACAGGGAAGGAAAAAAAAAGAAATAAAATACAAAATAATAAAAATAAATAAAATGATAGATCTGGCAAAACCGATCAGACACCTTGCTTTAATCTCAACTCCACTCCCAGAAAAGTGGAGCTGAGCTTCATTTAACATTGCACTCTCAATCAACCTTTCTGTCTTGAATGGTTTTCACTTAATTTCTACTGCTGTAAAGAAAGCATCACACACAGAAAAGTAATCTTCCAAACAGATAATTGTACAGTGCCTTTTTAAGGCTTTTGTCTGGCTTTGCAGGCCAAAACAAGCTCAGGATTGTGTCATTTGCACCTCTAAGGATCCTGGACACAAAGACATACAGGTGTAAAACATAGTCCAGGTTTTGCTTGATGACTTGTAGAGAGATTTGCATGTAAACGCTAATGATCGATTGAATGAAGTCTTACATTTTAATTAGAAAATTGTCTATACTTTCATTATATCATGATGAAGTACGTTATAACAAGGCCCACATCTTGAGCAAATACTCAATAAAAGCCTACACCAGACAAGCAGCCCGTGCTGTGTCACTGGAAATAATGGACTTCCATCCCTGCCAACACAAAGCTGTAACACCACTTCCCATAAGTGAAATGTGCATTTTTCGTGCCACAGCTTCGTATGTACAGAAACAGGGTGAGATTCTCATTTAGTCAGACAAGTAATTAGCAGAGACAGAGAAATCCAGCAATCCCCAGAGAAAATCAACAATCACTCCAGGAATCTAACAGTTCTTATATGAAAAGTCTTGGTGAGTTTTATTTGCCAGAAGCCACTGAGTCCCTCATCAATCTTTTCAGATATACTGTAAGCCAGTGCTGAAGTTCTGTACAAACTATGCAGGAAAGGGCATGTTCTGTCCCCAGGCTCCATTTAAAAGAACATAAACATAACTCTGCAATGCATGACGAGGGTCTGCTGCAACAATTTGCCTAGAAAAGTACATTTCCCTTTAAAAATATTTAACATTTCAAACTGTAATGAAAAGCTAAAGAAAAGATGGCCTTCTCAGAGGCAGAAAACACTCAGACAATTCTTTTAGAATGCCCCAAACAACATTGTTCTGCTTTTCAGCTGGTTTCCAAGAAACCTCACTCCCTCAGACCCAGCACAAATCTTAACGGCTTGTCAGCTTGCCTGTTCTTCAAACCGTAGAGAAGAAATATTTGGATGTAAACACGTGGATTCTGCAGAACCAGCACTGCCCAGCAGCAAGCATCCATCAGCGATACCAACCACCTTGCTGAAGTGCAACCAACAAGAATGAGATCAGCTTGACTGAAAGATACAGCCATCACTTCTTTCTCTTACTTCTTTTGAAGACCTCCAGACCTTCAATATGCCCAAGACTGACAGTCCACTGGCTCCATCATTATCCACTTCCTTTCCTCTGAGTCCTAAGATGCACAGCAGTGTGTAAGTGTCAGGATTCCCTTGCAAATCTACAAGGACAATTACAGCCTCACATGGAACCCAACATGTGAAGCCAGTCGCTGTTTTTCCCTGCTCCTGAAGTTTGGAGGACTTAAAATTAATTCCCTACGTACACAGACATTTTCTTCCAACTGAAAAGGGAAAAAAAGATTTTTCCTCTTGCTAGCTGAGGATATTAGGCCCCATTGAATGGCATTTGGAGTAAGAAAACCCATGGAAAACCATGTGGAAAACCCTTGTTTCCTGACTGCACCCATACTCAGCCAAAGACTGCCGTGGTGCACAACATGCTCTGGAGTGGGACGAGTGCACATGATGCTACAGGTGTACAAGTAGCATGCCAGGGTAGTGCAGGTAGCACACAAGGGCGTACAGATGGCACACCAATCCACCCACTTCCTCCATTCCAAACCCCAAAATCATGAGAAACTTTTTCTATCAAATCAGGTGCGTACATCATTGGTTTGGTTTGTGGTTTGAGGTACTGGCAGTTTATAGATTTCTTATCAGTCACACTTCATTGGAAAAGCCAGAAGCATGAAATATACAAGCTAAACCACTCTCTTCTCCTCTTTGAACTACGATGGGATCCAGTAAATCATGGCTCCAGGAACGGATATGAAGTTTAGACTTACCCTCCCCTTCAAAAAGTTATCTTCCAAAAGAAAAAAGTGAACAATTGAAGAACAAAGATTACTGAGGAAGATTAAAAGTAAAAGCTCAGCAAACCTTCCCTTCTCAGGGTGGCATCTATTTGTTGGGTGACATTTTGGATTCTGGCAAGCAAATAGATAAATCTTGTCTACTTCTCACACTGGAGAACAGAAAGTTTTAAGGTCAGCTGGCTTAAGAATCACAGACAAGCAAATAAGTTACAGCATAGGTGGAGAGAGGGTGCTTCCCACTTAAATCCTTGAACACGCTGCAAAGACATACAGCAGGAACATTCAAGCAGTGCTAGCTCGTGCTTCTGGACCACTTCCCAGAATAAATAATGGCCTTCACGTCACAAACCAACAGCTATCAGAAAATACTCCCAGATTGTTTCATCCACTCCTGTTTGGGTAATTTACTGCGACACCAATCCTCCTTTAGAATTTTAATCAAACAAACACGCATGGCTGGCTAAACTACATTTTGGTGTGGTATCGCATTACAGGAGAACCCTCACACCTTCAAGCCATTTACCTGCTTTCCTCAAAAAGAACACGTGAAGCAAATTCTACTTACAGAAATCCTGTAAGTCAACGCAAACAGTAAGCTGCAGAACTACATCATAGTTTACTTAACAGTGCTGAACAAAGGGAACAAATTACGGAAGAGCTGATTCATCTGGTTGAATGTTTTCCTTTAGCATGAAGACCGTTTAATTTTCTAGGGTATGACTGAACAGCCCTCCACCACTATGTAAGTTATTTTTGTTGAGTCCCTCTCCTGCTGAACAGGAGAAGAGAAAGCTCAAGGCAGACCTGACTGTGGCCTTCCAGTACTTAAGGGGAGCTTATAAACAGAAGGGACACTGCCATTTACATGAGCAGATAGCAATAGGAAAAGGCAGAATGATTTCAAACTAAAAGAGGGGAAACTTAGGTTAGCTGTTAGTGGAAAATCTTTACTGAGAGCATCACAGAATCACAGAATTGTAGGGGTTGGAAGGGACCTCCAGAGATCATCGAGTCCAACCCCCCTGCCAAAGCAGGTTCCCTACAGCAGGTAACACAGGTAGGCATCCAGGCAGGTCTTGAACATCTCCAGAGAAGGAGACTCCACCACCTCCCTGGGCAGCCTGTTCCAGTGCTCCGTCACCTCACTGTAAGGAAGATTTGTGCGGGACTTCTTATGCTGCAGTTTCCAGCCGTTTCCCCTTGTCCTGTCTCCATTCACCACTGAAAAGAGTCCAGCCTCGCCATTCTGCCCCCCACACCTTAGATACTTATAGACGTAAGGATGGTAAGGCCCCGGCACAGGCTGCCCAGAGCTGTAGATGTCCCATCCCTGGAGGCATTCAAGGCCAAGTAGGACGGGGCACTGAGCATCCTGACCTGCTGGGTGGCAATCAGACCACGGCAGGGAGTTGAAACTGGATGACCTTTAGGGTCCCTCTGCACTTACGCCATTCCATGACAATGTTCCACACAGCTTCAAACTGAAAAATCAAATTGATTTCTGGAAGCCAAAAGTGAGTTTGAGAGACAGAAGTTCTGTCAGCAATTAGGTTCCAATACTCACTGCTGCTTTTTCACTAACTCAGCTCCAGAAGTTTCAACACTACTGCAAGAAATAGGAAGTCTCCCAGAAAATCCAGAGGGCCTGTCAGCTGTGACAAAGCCTGAACTACATCAACAGCCTGATCTTAAATTGACATATTAGAAATGAAACAAATGTGAGTCATACAAGGAAGTGAAAGTCAATTACTTTTTATGCACACTGCCAAAGCACCTGATCCATACCGACAAACACCACCTCCTTCTGGATTTCCATTGTGCTCCTATTGATATTACCATAGTGAACAACAGGAGCTGATGTCACCTTTATTATCTTTGACTCTCAATAAATTTTAGCAACACAAATAGCCTCTGTTAAAAGATCTTCTCAGTGAAAGACAAGTGATAGCAGCAAAGACTCATCTGCTCAAAGCAGCATTCAAATGGCAGACAGGAACATTGGGAAGAAAATGGGGGAGAGTGACAGCACTGTCATTATGGCTATATATAACATATATATGGCTATATATAACATATAACAGCACTGTTGCCTCTCCCAGCCTCAGCTCACAAAGAAAGGCACTTCCTTGCCCTACAATACAATGCCCCCACCAGAATACAGATCCCATTCTCTCCATCCCCCCACCTTTTCTTGATGAGAGAGAGTAGGGTACAGGGCACCTGTAGCCAGGCAGGCTGACATCAGCTTGTAGAACAGCATGCATCTGACACTGGGGAACATCCTACTGATGGACTCTCTCTGCTCTCAACAGGCTGCTCCCAGAGTCTACAGCTACAGCTTAAGCCTGAAGAGCTCAGCTCCATATCTGCTCCATACCCTCTTTTTTTCCTCATGTTTGCCTGTCCTTTCCGTTTAATAGTCCTCTTGTAATTTCTCTATGCCCCAAAATATAGTAAGACTGCAACGTTTTCATCCTGTCCACTTCAATTGCAAGTTAACATCACCTGTGGCTGTTTAAATAAGGCTTTCAGAGGATTGCCAGCTACTTCATGTTTGCAGCATTTCAATGGGATTAGACTCTTCACCTGAGTTTAAACACCTTTATAATGGATGTGACACTGGAACATTAAAAAAATAATTACAACATATAGTTTAATTACCCTGTCCCGAGCCTTCAGAACTTGGCACACATTTCAAAATGTTGTCTAGTAGCAGTGAATTAAAGTTCAGATTCATTAATTTATCACAGAAACAAATCCAAACCATGACAGTGAAGTTCACAGTACTCTCCCTAAACTGCCACATAATTATCCATTCCTATACCTAGAAGATCTCACCCAATCACAACCCTTATGGACAGAAGAACATACCACAGTGATTTTGTATAACCCAATTGCCTTATCCAATCCTCTCTGCAGAGATTCCTTTCAGTGCAAGCCTCTTATTTTTGCTGCTTCTATTTTATTACCTGTGACCTCAAGTTGCCAACTTAATCCACTGGGAAAATTCTAAGAGTTTGCTGAAAACGATCAGGGATATATAATAACTACTAGAATTAGAATAGGGAACTTAAGAGTAAAAACAGCACACGTGCTTCCCCTACAGGAAAGATTAGCAAGAATAATTAACGATGAGCATTTCTCTTAAAAACACTTGAAAAACTTAACCTTGCTTGTAGACGGAGACTAAGGCAAACATCTCTCTATCCATGCAAGTCAATCTTGTGACTACATTTCCAAACTACACACTAAGCCTTGCTTTGCAAAACGAATATTTTTGTCTATCTATTAAGCAGCATTACCAGCTACCTGCATTAGAAGGAAATGTCTGATTAACAAAAAAAAAGTAGTATTCAAGAACACTTGCTTGAAATTAAGCTTTCTGCTTTCACTGTAAAGACAGCCTAACACAGAACATCCATTAGAGGCACAAGATACCAATTAAAACAGCTCTAATGTTTTGCCTTAAAAAAAAACTTTGTTTATGCTGTGCATGCAATAGACAGCTATCCAGACTAAATGCAACCTTCAAATTATACTTTAATGAGCAGTATCAGTTACAGGAATCTCATTCATAAGTTCAATTGGAAAACCACACTAAAAACTACAGATATGATCATTTTAGATTAACAAATGGAGCTTTGAAGGTGCACAGTTTTGTCCAACAGAATAAAGGTATTGTTCTGTTTGTAATTCCTGGTTTAACTTCCTGTTCTGTTACTGTCATTGATGACTATGTGTGCAGCCAGCACTCACAATGACCCTGAGAAAAAAACAAAAGCTATTCACTAAGTGCTAGTAAATCAACTAACAAGTCAGAAAATGGCTGGAGAGAACCAGTCAGCAGAATGGAGTCACAGGTTTCTCCTCGCACTTCAAAATCCTTGTAAGTGGTTTTCAAATTACTGGATAATTACTTTCACATAAGCTAAACACTTTTTTTCATACAAAATATAGCCAAGTCATAACATAGTGTAGCATGTGAGTACATTACAATTCTATTTTTCAATAAACAGAAGGAGTACATTAGTTACAATTAGAGGCTTGTTTACAAAAGTGAGAGCAGGGACATCTACACAGCACCAGTTCCTGTTATGTCTGCCCACAGAACAATACCACAACACTTCATTACTTTCATAGCCAGAATAAAAACCTTCCCCCATCTACTTCTGGCTTCCCATTACTTGTTGCAATTTAGGAAAATCACAACCCGCTCTTTGGAAAAAGCAGCACCGCATCCATTCACTAAGTGGCAGAGTCTGAAAAGCAAGCTGCCCCAAAGCAAGCGCAGATGCCACGCTGCCAGCGGGTGATCCCAGCAAGGCTGGCACACCTCGGCACACCGAACACGCCAGGGAACGATGAAAGTTGCTGCGGCAGCTGATCCGTACGGGATCAACCTTTCCGGCTGAAGACAGCAGAAGCTCTGAAGTGATAACAGGGAGATGAAGCCACGAGGCGCCAAGTAACTGGGCACGACTGCGGGTGGCTGCTCATCTCCCAGCCCGCAGAAGCCTCGCACATCCCTGAGCAAACCCGCAGCCCAGCTTTCAGTTACATTCCTGTACACCAACACGGAGCCCTAGGATACCGGGCCGGCCGCTCGAGCGACAACTGCGGCACAGATGCGTGGCGAAACCACCGGACAGCGGCCGCATCCCGCAGCCCCGCGCCGCCCCTACCTGCCGCCGGCTCGCTCCGCGCACGGCGCCGAGGCCCGGCCCTGCAGGAGACTCCTCCCGAGCCCCAGGCCCGCCCCGCGCTTACCCCCGGAACTCGGGGCCGTTGTCCAGCGCTTACGGCTTTGTTTCTGCCTGACCGCCGGGTCTGTCTCTTTCTTTGAGGGAATTTGAGGGAATTAACGCCTCCTTTGCTGTTTGCCCGGATCGCAATAACAACACAATAAAATAATACAAAGAAACCATCTTTAGGGACACGATGCATTTACCTTTATCTTCGGATTAATCATTTATAGAGCAGAGATAAACAAAAACCTTGACCTTACAATCTTATTTCTTACGGGAAAGCTCGTTCAGGGCCAATTAAATACACACTTACACAGACACGCTATGCCAGGCAGTACTTGGCAGCTTCTGGACAGGGGATTTACCACCAGCCCAGCTTTCTGGTAGAACGTCGTGAACACACGGCATTTCTTCTCTTTTAGTGATACACACCTATCGATTTTTCACATTCACTTCTCCTCCACATCTTCCCTTCAAGCTGACCGGGACAAAATTCTGTTTGAAGCTACAGCTGAGCACGAGCACAGTGACAGGGAAGCACCAGGGAGGAAGCAGCTTCTCCTCCAGAATACCTCAGCAGGGCTGGACACTGACAGGAATTCATCCCTACTTGCACTGAGCTGGACCGGGCGTTCCTCCAGCACAGCCAGTCACTGCAGCCCTTCCCAAAGGCTTCTGCTGTCCTTTCAACAGAGCAGCATCCTGGAATTCAGTGTGGGGCCCAACAGCCACCACTGGGACAGGCAGTAGTGAAAAGAGAAATGGGAGGAGGACTAGACTGGCTCTGCTGTATCACACCCATAGGACTGCCCATCACTGGTCTCCTTTCCACTGATTCTGTACAGAACCACAGAACCCATCCCTTCCTATGTTTATATAGTTTGTTACACCATGTTGGCACATTTAATATTCACAGCAAGCACATATCTTACAGCTTCCAGAAATTATTCCTAAATAGCTTCTCTGGTAAGCAAGATGGTAATGACGATGATGTAAAAACAAAATGTCAGCCAGCCTTTGGACTGAAGGCCTTACCAGCTGGTGGGAAGCAGTCACAAACCAACCTTCTCTGTGTTCAGAAGCTGCACTGTTGTAGTGCACAAGGATCACTTTTACCAAGTGGACAGTGCTTATTCAGTTCTGAAATTAGGTAAACCATGCCTATATCCTGTACCAGATGCATTCAACACAGAATTAGGTGAAATTTTCTAGTTCTGCTTTAAGACCACGTTTTGCCCAAAGCAACATTCCTGGCGTGACTGCAGAGGACCTGTCTGAAGATCTCTCATGCTGATCTAGCTGCTGCTTGCATGTGGCAGAGACCCACAGCAAAACAGGAGGTGGCTGAATACAAGAAGTGCCCAGAATTGAACACTCAGAACTTCTCTGAATCTTAGAAGCTTGGGTTTTTTTGAGCATTAAGAAGAACCACACACATACACACAAAGTGTCCTGGAAGCGTGTGCTGTTACTAAATGACACCTTCAGGTCCCCATGATCATGGCAGAATATGGCACAAGCTTCTGTGCTCAGCACAGACTGAGAACTGCTGCTTTGTGAGTGGGGCACATTGGAGAAACAACCCGAAAGAGGAAGTGGCTGCAGGCGTGTGTGTGACTGACACTGGCTGTATCACCTGTCCCCATCTCCTTATCACTCTTTCTCTTCCTGCTTTCCCACCTAAGATTGCTGTGAATCGTAAAATGAACAGAAACATTGCCAAGGTCCTGAACAGCTTTTGCTACTCAGAGAAGAGAGAATGCTTTCATGGAATTCCTGGGGAAGTCAACTTTGTTGCAATTCCTGCAATCTTTATCTACATCTGTTCTTAAAGAGTTTCTTCTATCACACAGCATTTCAGAACAGCAATCTTATTAACAAGTGTATTACCTTTCTTCTTTTTATTCTTAGAAAAGGAACAAAAATAAACACCCCACATAGCACTGTGGGAAAGCATCAGCCCGTAACAATTCCTATTTAAGTCAGAGCTGGTCCTGCTTTGCAGCCACAGCCAAATATCCATGCTTGGTTGGCTTCCATGCACCAACAAAAGCTGGCACTTAGGCTCTGGTGGTGCTGTAAATGTACACAGCTGGTGCACACTTTGCAGATGTTGCATGAATGCTCAGCAACACGATTTTCAGGGGTTTCAAATTTTAACGCCCAATTTTTCAGGAATGGTCAACTGGAAGTTATTCAAACAAAGAGCATTAAATGCGATGCTCAACCAAGGAACCACAATAACCCCTGTAAACACATTTCCCTGCAGTACCTTGCTCTGTTATAGACAGATCTTGTACACCCTAGAGCTAAAGTGCAGCCTGGCCTCCAGCAGCCACGCAGTGTCAGGATTTGCTATGCAAAATGTGCCACCTGGGAAAACCACCATGGGAAGAAACAGCAGACATGACCTCCTGGCCTATGAACTGGCCTTCACAGTGACCTATGGAAACATGAGCACGTACTATAGATTTTTCTCATAGGAAAAATATATTAAAAGCATGTTAATTATTTTCTAGACCAATATACCAGCATGAAATCTGGAATATCAACAAAATGTTTTTTCTGGAAAGTAGCTCCATGCAATAAGGAAGTAGTTCCATGTCTCAGTGTTCTCTAAGTTCTTTTCTTCCTGCACATAATACACAAACACACCGATAACCACGCACACCTACATTACTTGCAGTACACACAGATGCTAGCTTGCATTTTTATCGCTAACATTTTATGATTATGAAAACTGATGTGACCATATGAATTCCTCTTGCTAATAAAGCAATTCAAAAACCAAGTCTGAGCTGACAGCACAGAGGTGAGTGTCCTTACTGATGCCTGACTCAGCATCCTGAAACCCAATGATTCATTTTTACTGCAGAAAGATTACTTTTCCTCACAGAGTGCTTTCCTACTTCCTCACTTACGTATTTTCACACTGAAGGTAAGCAGTGCTCACAACAAGTTGAGGAGTTCAAGCCAAGGACCTGGCGGCTCTCAACCACACATCAGTCTGAGTTTTCGTTGCTCCTCACACCAGACGCAAGCAGAAGATGACAAAACAGAACTTATTTCTAAACCAGCGTACCACGGCCTCGTGCCCTCGCTGCTGGGGTGTGTGGGCACCACTTCTCTCCAACGAAAAGATTTTTATTCGTGTCTGCACGCTGCCTTAGGGAAGTGGAATAAGAAGATAAACTTCCCGGAGCCTGACTCCCCGATTTTCAACCCAAAAGCCCTGCCACGGAAGGAGTGGGCTCATTACTGAACACAGCGCTGGGTGAGAGCAGCGCGCAGCCCTCAGCCGCTCCCCTCACCCCGCAGCGCCGCCCCACTCACACACGGACACACGGACACACGCACACACGGACACACGGACACACGCACACACGGACACACGGACACACGGACACACGCACACACGGACCCGGGCACGGCCGCTCGGAGGGCCACAAACCGCTCCCACCTCCACCGCTTGAGGGAGGGGCCGCGCGCGCCTCCTGCAGCCGAAGGAGGAGGAGCGCGGACCGATCGCGGAGCTTCGCCCCCGCCCCGCCGGCGGCCCCGGCCCCGGCAGCCGCCGCCCCGCCGCTCCCCGAACTTCGCGGCGCCCGGAAACGGCAGCGCGGCGTCCACAAGCAGACATGAGCGAGTTCGGGGCCGGCGCGGAGCTGCCGGGCTGGGTGGCGGACAACCGCAGCTGGGGCGGTAAGGGCGGCAGGTACCGCGCGGAGCGCTGCGGGAAGGGGGGGGGAGGGGGCAGCGTGGGGCCGGGGCGGCAGGTGGTGCCGGAGGTGGTGGTGGGGCTTGGAACGGGGGCACGGGGGCACGGGGGCGGCCGTGCCGGTCGCAGCGCCGCGGGGTGTCGGCGATCGCGGGGTGCGCGCTCCCGGCCGGGTGCCATGTTTTAAACGCGCTTCCTCCGTCTCGCAGAGCTTTTTTCCCCCGAGGAGTCGCGCGCGGCGGCACCTGTAGGGTTCCTGCAGGAGCTGCCCAGCTACCGATCCGTGCGGAGGCGCCGGGCCGCCGGAGATGTCCAGGAGCGGCCGGGGAACCTGCGGGGAATCGCCGCTGCTGAGCTCCGGGGGCCGCAGCCCGAGGGAGAGGAGCGCGGGGTCGGGCACCTCTGGGAGCTGCCCACGAGCATCGCCGAGAAGAGGATAATAAGGTTCTTTACGTTTGCTTTTCTTTGCGCTTTTAAATATGACCTGCACCTAAAGGAATGTAGCACGCGTGAGATGAAAGGCAGGCACAGAATGGGGCTTACTTGTCCCTGCGGGCACTGTTTTGAGAAGTTGCTCAGTCCCTTCTGTCAGGAACCCGTCGCGGCCCCACCTGCAGCAGTGTGGCTGCCGGGAGCCTGACTGGGTGAGGGAGTGCAGCGAATGGGAGGAACACGCTCACAACGAGGAGCTGACCTGCTGCAGATGGACGTGTTTCTTGCTGGCTTCTTGTTTCAAGAGTTTGTGCTCCTAAGGGTTCCAGCAGCTGACCTGTCACTGTGAGCAGCCCTGCCTCCTCGTCAGCTCTGAGTACTGCTGTTTCCATTCTTCCTTGCATTGTGCTCAAACACAGCGTGCTCTCTATTGTGGAATTGATAAGCGTGAGACAGCTTTTTAAGACCATTTTCTCCTTTCACATCCTGTAAGCTCTTCTCTGCTGTGAGCAGTTCCTGCCCCTCAGCGTAGCTGTCAGCGGGCTGTATTTCTCACTTGTGACTTCAGCTGTCTCATATCTTACTACTAGGCTCAGAGCTCTTGAGAGCAGAGGGTACATCCGTTGTCTTTGCAACATCCCCATCCAGCCACATTTGGACCTTAAGGTCTGGTACTTCACAGTTGTGGTTATGAGCTGGGGGACAGGTGGAAGTACAGCCCTCCAAGGAGCTGTACATCAAACAGTGTTTGGTGCTCCACAGAGAACAGGAACAAATTGCTTGCAAGAAGAGAGCTGGTAGAGTGGCTGGACTTAGCTAAGAACTACAGACTGCTTTTAGAGTCAGGCCCAACTCTCTGTAGATGCACAAAATGCTGCAGAAGTTCTGTGTCTCAGTGCACTGAATTTTACATAAAATTGGGTGCTCCACTCCTCAAGAAGCAGAACTGCAGTTCTGTGGCCATGGTGCTCATCAGGAATGAAGTTGGGATATTCTGAGGT